TTGTGTCCAGAGACGGCGGCCAAGTTGTCTGTTTGCTCACTGTGGGACTCAGTTCCAAACACCTTGAGATCACGATTGGCGGCTTCTTCGGATAGCGCTATGTCGATTGCCATCTGAAGGGTCAAATCAGCTCGCTTCAGCAGCGCTGCTTGTATTTTCTGGTCACGGAGGCCGATGCATATTCTGTCTCTTAGCATGTTGTCCCCGTCTGGGAAATCACACGTTGCTGCCAGAGATCGAAGGGCCGATAGATATTGGCTGACCGACTCGTCTGGCTTCTGACCGCGAGTGTAGAAATTGTACCGTTCACGGACAACATTCTGGCGGGGCACACAGAACGCCTCGAAGCGTGACACTAGCTCATCCAACCCTTGTTCTGCAGACCACCCAGAGAAATGAGAGGCGACTTTTTGTGCTTCACCACCTGCACAGTTGAGAAAAACGGCCACTTGGACGGCCTGGGGCTTGCCAGCGAGTTCGACAGCCACAGCGTAATTCTCCCATTCACGCCGCCAGGTCCGCCATCTTGATGCTAATTGCGGTGATGAAATCTCGAGCTCTGCCGGTGGGCGAAGATTCGACAGCATCGTCGGCACCTTTGTGTTACGTTAACTTCTGACACCATGTAACGTTCTTAAGATATCAGATAACGTAAGACGATGATATGTATTCAGTAATGTCAGATATTATACAGCACTGACCAACCCTAGCTCGGGTGTCTAACTCTACAACCCCTCCGGCTGCCGCGCCCTCACTTGCCGTCAACCACGAGTTCGCTTTTCTGCCGTTAGATGACAGCACGTCTCAGGACACTACAAATTACAATACGTCACATAGATAATCTCTCATGGCCATGGTACCTTATTATTATTGGATCAATAGTTATTTCATGCATCTTCCAGAACAGCTAAATTCTCAAGTTGCTAAGTTTTGCTCTTAAAAGAGTGTGATACATCAAATATGTTGCATTTAGTTTTTCCTTTTATTATCATGACGTAAATGTTGACTGTTGAGTCCTGGCTCGCTTTTTCGCCATGGAAGCAGAAAAAGCTAATTCGTAGCACATGCACGATTTCCAACATTATATACTGACTTATACAGCAGGCTATTCAGGCACAGAAAACCCCTCTACTTCCTCCTCAACAGTTTCCAAACTCAGCCTTTCCCCGTTCATTTTTAGCGTGCTGCCAGCCTGCCAATGGCGAGTGTGTCTCTCCGACACTTGCACATCCGTCCATCCATCCATTTCCCGTGCGTAAATTGAGGTGTCGGAGCTAATGCATTGTTTGGCCGCTCCTGAGGGCTGCTGCGGGACAACACTCGTGACGTCGTCGATTGCCACCGACCTGGGGACGAGCTGGCCTCGGCGGATAGGATGCCACCGTGGCCGCAGGCTGGGGACGATCAGACGATCGACGGAAAGGGGGTCGGACCTGGCGGAGAGATGAGAGATTGACTACAAAGTCACAGCTGGGAAGTGTGGGAATATTATTTTTTTTTCTTAATGTGCTTTTATCAATATGATCGTGCATGAAATACAGTTCAAGTAAACATCGCATACGATAATTATCAGTAAAATTGTGTCATTTCCGTAAGGATTTCAGTTAACCCTCGCCCGCACATGGGGGGGTGGTTGCCACCCCCCCCAGGTAGTCTTTCTGCTCTGCACTCAACATTTTTAGAGCTAGAAGGCTGATTTTTCGTATAGCTGCTCCTCTATCCTTTCTTGATGTCCACTGAAAATTTCAAGTTTCTGTGATTTTTGGTTTCGGAGATATGACCTTGTTTTTCAGGTCATGTCATGACCCAAATGGCCAATTCTCAACATCTTGCGCTTGCCATGGGCCTTGTGAGCTTTTGACACCCTGATTTCGGCCTTTTTTGCCAGTCTTACCTCCCACCTATCATGGAACATGTTGTTCGACGATGTACAGGGGTCAAGGTCAGGGTCAAGGTCAACCTAGGTCATCTAAGATAATTGCGTTTTAGGCAAGCTGAATTTACTTTTTGTGAAGTTTTTTTACTGCATTTTTGGTAAAAGCTTCTCAGATCATGATTTCATGTAATATGGACCCAAAAACAATCGGTGCACACATCAGTATACACACAGACACACACAGACATACAAACACATATAATTGACCTTGACCTAACTTGACCTGAAATGACCTCAGCAGCAAAATTCTGGTCGGGTAGTGTGACAAAGAGGTTCTAGCTGGCTTGGCACCAGAAAACAGCATCGTCATCGGTATTTGATAAGCAGCGCACTTGATATCCAACGGTGACCCAAAACAGCAACATTTTTTAGTTTGACCTGACCTGGAAGGTCAATGACTGACCTGAGAAGGTAAAACTGGGTATCATTGGATTTGTCTCTTCCCAAAGAATCTTTTTGGTCTTTACTGCTAAGCTCTATCTCCAACAGGAACGAAATGGCGCGGGGGGGGTGGCAACCACCCCCCCCCATGTGCGTTCTAGGATGGGAAAAGGGCATGTGCGGGCGAGGGTTAAAAGATGACTAATGCAGCATTGGATCAAAATCAGTTTTACTTTATGTTTGCTGATGTGGAAAACGTGCGGTGTTTGTATTCATCGTGTCGGCTCCGAGACGTCTAAACATGTTAGATATGCGCCATCGGTCTCCGGCTGATCTGGGAAAACATCTCTGTTCCGCCGTCTCTTGCCGCTCCGATCCTGCGCGCTCTGTCCTGCCGGCGCGCCGCGCCGTGACGGGAGGCCCAGCACGGCGAGCTGTTTGTCGCTGCGAATAGAGCGTCGGCCAGGCACCGCTGGGGTTTGGTAATCATTTGATATCAGCCGCCTCCGAGCTTGTTTACGAGCACAGGATTGTCACAAAAGGATAATGAAGCCTTCGAAAAAAATAAGCTGAGGAAGACTAAAAACAGCGAACGTGACATAAACCTACGATGTTAACTATTATGAGGTTGATAAGAATGGCACAGGCAAACATGGATAAATCAATTGCATTTATATTTTTGGGTAAATTCACTTACATGGCATATATAGGCACTAAAAACCAAGGGCCGTTCTAAGTGTCAGTGATGCCTGACCTGACATGATGCCTGAGAAAAGAAAACTGACCATGCTTTGGAATTGGTGGAATAAATGTCTATTCTATTCTTATTAATAATGATTGCTGTCGTTTTAATCCATCGCTTGAGTTAATCAACATTTTTAGTTTTGTGGAGATTTTCATAATTCCTTGAATAAAAAACGCATTATGCCGGTGCTGGGTGCCATTAGGGGTTTGAGATTGGAAACGGTTGACTGAGTGCCAACAAATGGAACAGACATTATCATTCGTCATCGATCAGCGCCAGCTGGCTCCGGGTCCTTACCCCTCCTCTCTCGCCCCCGTACCCCAGTGCCGGCCGTAAATCGAAACCCCGCTCTGACTCTGCACACAAAGGGCAATTAAACTGCGCTCATTTTCATCTCCTTCTGCAGGCAACCTCCAAGAGCTGCATCATGGTATCCAGCGTGCACTCTGCAGTCTGCACCACCTCACCGTAGCATTATATTCCCTCCTCGACACCGTACTCATCAGATGCACACTTTTTCCTCCACAGTTTCTGCAGTGGCGCGCTGTCACTCTAAAGTGGCCGCCGCCGCCGCCGCTGCGAACGTTCGTTGCCATATTTACATGCCGTCGGCGGCGACGAATATCGATTCAGAACTTCGGCGAAGGCAAATGTCGCCGCCGAGAGAGGTGCCCCCCGGGGGTCCCGCTGTCTGCTCCGGGAAAACGTGCAGCTCCGCGCTCAGTCTGCGGCGTTACTTTTCATCTGTGATTAACTCTGACTGGAGCTGCAGTGCTGATACTAATCAAAGTATGCGATGCATTCTTAAGTATTTCAGCATTCATACTGGTCCCATTAAACAAATCTTTGCGAGGGCATTTAAAGACAATTGGAATTGAAGAAATGGCAAAATACGTGAAATGTTTGAAAACTTTTCCTTTCATTTTGCCATGCGAAGAACTAACTAACAAATTTGTTACAAGGATATTGTGGCGTTTTTAAGCTAGAATGTCATATTGAACCTGAGCTGCATTCTACCGATCTATCCTCGGTGATTCCCACATAAGTCATAGCAATGTCAATATTTAATTCGCGTTTCAGGTATATTACAATTACAGCTAAATTGTTTAGTTGTCACAGACTTTGTCCTCTTGGTGATGAGGTTGTTAGTGGTTGTTCATTCCAAATTGTAATGCCAAAAAAGTGAAACTTGAAACAGGACGTAAAATAGTGATGACACGTTCATTTAATTTTAGGTCTTAAATAGAGCTTGAATGCTTGTGCCTATCTTGACAAGTGTTGAATAATGGTGTCAGTCATTCTAAGAGCCATGCACATATTCGTTTTGATCAAACAATTTATCATCAAATTTTCCCTTTCCAGCTCGCATGCAGTACATTTCTGCCAGCATTACTTGCTCATTGCTGTGTAACACAGCCTTAGCAACGCGGTTCGCTGCGAGTTCCATGCGAGTTCCAATGCAGGCAATAAAAACAAACTGCCCTGCTGACAGCCGGCGGTGCGCTTTAACCCGTTACGCACCGAGCACCCACTGCACTGGCGCGACCCGGCCGGTATTTAGCCGACTTTGGACTGCCATAGCCGGGACTCAGACGCGAGGACCGACATCAGAGCATTGATTGTCCGTGGGGGTCACGGCCGAGGGTTTACTCGGCAGTCGGCAGCCCGCTGGACAAGGATGTTCTGTCAGAAACAGGGGCACATGACCTTAGGGAACGGAGGACGATCTGTCCTTCTTTGGTTTCCTTCTCGAATGAGAACCAGTTGATTGTTGCGGCTATGAACGGATTATATGTGGATGCTGCCTTTGTGTATTTGGTCCCCCTTGGTGTAACCGTTCAACTCATGACGGACACGACAATACACATCGAGTTGAACCACTGACAGATTTTGCGTTACCCGGGTCCACCCCTGACCGACGATGCCCCGTTTCAGGAATGATGAGGCCACCGGCAGACCGCGTCCTGATCGAGCCGCTGACCTGGCTGCTGTTCGTCTGCGGTGAGTACGGATATGTGCAACAAACTTCTCCTTACAATCATCTACACGTATTCAATGGGAATCACGTGACAATGGCATGGTGTGACAGCCGGCAGAAAAGTTGGCTACGTATGAGGGATAACCTTTGGACAGTCCACTTCATCTCTGAGTATTTTATTCTTTTATTCTGATCCTCATACAGTGGTAGAGAGAGAGAGAGAGAGAGAGAGAGAGAGAGAGAGAGAGAGAGAGAGAGAGAGAGAGAGAGAGAGAGAGAGAGAGACAGAGAGAGAGAGAGAGAGAGAGAGAGAGAGAGAGAGAGAGAGAGAGAGAGAGAGAGAGAGAGAGAGAGAGAGAGAGAGAGAGAGAGAGAGAGAGAGAGAGAGAGAGAGAGAGAGAGAGAGAGAGAGAGAGAGAGAGAGAGAGAGAGAGAGAGAGAGAGAGAGAGAGAGAGAGAGAGAGAGAGAGAGAGAGAGAGAGAGAGAGAGAGAGAGAGAGAGAGAGAGAGAGAGAGAGAGAGAGAGAGAGAGAGAGAGAGAGAGAGAGAGAGAGAGAGAGAGAGAGAGAGAGAGAGAGAGAGAGAGAGAGAGAGAGAGAGAGAGAGAGAGAGAGAGAGAGAGAGAGAGAGAGAGAGAGAGAGAGAGAGAGAGAGAGAGAGAGAGAGAGAGAGAGAGAGAGAGAGAGAGAGAGAGAGCTCTTGTTCAGCCAACAATTATTCCTCAACCAAATTGCATCTAAGGGAAAAATTGTATACCTACACGTATCACGCTATCACGTAACGCGTGTTTTTCTTGCATCGGCGCTATTTCAGCTCGGTAGATCTGCGATCGCGCTTACGATTGCATCTATCTTGCTCATTCTTGCCTCTAAATTACAGACTTACTCTGTGTATTCAAAGAAGTAAATGGTCTAACCAGAAGTGATCCAATGTGTGATAGGCTGCCTCACTGAGACTATCCCGGTTTCTCGGTCGGATGGCGGCTCCAGTGGCCGCCCCGGCGCACGGATCTAGGTCGTACCCTCGTCACGTTCCACTGGACCGTATGATAGCAAAGAGGTCAGCTTTGATCCAGGGACCTCCCGCACCCGGAGTGGACGGATTACACGAGTACTGAAAGTTGATGGCTGCTCTTTACCATGATAAAGTTTTGGTGTACTGGATGGAATGAGTCCATCCAAGGATATGGTAATTATGTGGATCCAAAAGCAAACGAATGTAGATATCTGGCTGCTGATTATATGCAAACATTACTTAGTCTAGGAATTGGGCATATTGCAAAACTGCTGAATTTCAGAGGTTTGTGTAGCACGACCGAAAACAATATTCAGTAACTATAACGAACCACTTGACAGAAAATACTGCGTATGTGCAAATCCAATATACACATTGAAATTATTTGCAATTTTCTGTCGGAAATACCTGCTTGAAGTTATAATAGGGTTTTCAAGGGTTGTTATCTCGGACCAGTCGCCTTTATAAAGTGCGTGTGTATTTAGTGTAGAGTGTGCCAGCATCAGGACAAGTCGGACAGAACGGGAAATTTTTTTTACCTCTCCTGTAGCCTCTTCTGTTAGAGACCATTCATAGATCATCGCCGCCCTGCGGTTGTGATGTTACAATTTCTAAGATCCACCCAGCGGTCTTTTTGGCCCGGTGCCAGGCCAGCCCTTGTTTTGGTCGAAGCGCGGCGCCGTATACCAATGGGTTACGACCGTATCGTTTCACTGGACCGGCCGCGGGAACAGCAAAACGACTGTTGTGTGATCAATTGGCGAATTGCCTAAAGCGATTGGCTTTATGACAGGAAGTTTACTCAGCCTGATAAATGCCGAGGGGTGATAAAATGTTTTTGTGGCTAGTTTTTTGCTTTTTTGTCTCAGGGCCATCACGTTAGTCTGCTTCCTGTAACAAATATTGTGAACATTGTAAAGTAACAACGGATAAACAAATCAGCACGCCAAAATAACTTATCTTATGTAATATGTGAATAAATGACGGATAAATCAAACTGAACTATACCGTTGATAGGCGATTGAATTGTATGCCTTTTGCTTAGGTATTCTGCTATCATGCATAAATATCTTCATATCTACATACATATCTACAAATGCATATCTACATATTATCCCAACGCATCGTCATAAGCAATGATACAAAGTCATGTAGACCTTCTGCGTTTAGCCATGTGCCCTCTTTGTGGGATTAGTAACAATTAATGGTGAGCGCTGGAGTGCATTTTCCGTGACCACTGCGCTCAGTGCGGGAGCGTGCGGGGATTATTGAGCTGTCACCTACACCTTATTGATAGGACAGACAAGGTGGTGCAGTGGTGTGTTTATGTGTGTGTGTGCGTTTGTGTGTGTGTGTGGGGGGAGTCCCATACTGTATCATCATCGATCCTCGATCGGCTGTCAGCAAACATACAGGTAGGTACATGTAGGTACGACAACCGTACTAGGCTTTTTGGAAGTTTTTAACGTCCCCAGCCTAAGCAGGCTCCCAATGCCATACGTCGCGCAGAACTGAAGTAATTACCTACTCTGCTGAGGTGTGACAGCGACTCGCCCCGCGCTCCCCAGTCGGTTGGGACTGATTACAAGCAGTTCTGTGATCAGCCAGTTCAAATAAAGCGGACAAGTTTTCTAGAACGAGGAAAATGTGTCCCATTTGTGAGTTGGCTGGCCTCTTCTGTCTTGATCATATTGCATTCATTATTGAACGCTGTCGCGAGCCATGGCGTGCCTGACATGCTGAAAATCAGATCATTGTAAAATGTAGATCTAATTCCACACCGGAGCCCCATCTCAATGCTTTGTATTTTATGTTTTCCAACACAACATAGGTATAGGTATTGAGCTCATTTTGTCAAAGAATGATTTTAAATGTCTCAGACGATGGAGGGTCTTCCCCTCAGATGTAAGTTTCATCGTCCTATCTAAGCTACGTATATGCGCATGCGTATACTTAAATCAGGTTAAGTAACTGATGCTTGCTCACACCCTTATAAAATATTCATTGAAGTTTGATCTACGATACTTAAGTAAATGAAAACATAAGTTGTCTTAACCCGCGAGTTGCTGGGGGGGGGGGGCGTTAAACGCCCCCACTTTTTTCGCCGGGCCATAGCATAAAAACGGCGCGCCGCAGGCGCGCCAAATTTTGGGTACCTGTAGGGAATTGATTGAAGTTTATTGTGACAAAGTTTCAAAAAAATCGGTCGGAAAATTCTTGAGATATCGAGGTTTTAGTGACGTCATGATTTCTGAGTTTTCGACCAAAAACGGCATATGTTCAAAAAATCATATAAAATCACAGAATAGACATATAGACATGCCGTAAACGCCATTAGACTGCCAATACCATGGAGAATCAAATGGCTATCTTCGATTATTGATTATCGTCCCGCATTTTCCAAAATCTTGAACTGAATCTTGGCAATTTCTCGTGACTACTTCACGACCATGATACATGAATTTCTTAAATTGAACTTTTTTAGCCAAACACGTACACATATGATAAAATGAATGTCACCATCGTGTTCTACGCCCCAAATTACCCATAAAACATGTGTCACAGGCTGCGAATATCAGTTTTTATTTTCGGGGATATGTGCCTGCCCGGTTGACCTGACCTTGACCCTGACCTATGCTTGACTGACCCCTGCATGGAGCTGACACTCTTGTAGGCCTTATATGATGGATTGTGCACCGTTTTGACAGAGTTTATGACGAGAGGCGCCCATTGCGAAGTCCTGAAGTCCATGCTAATGAAAGCCCGATTTTAGGTGTTTGACCTGACCTTGACCCGACCTGTGACCTCAAAATTCATGTTTAAAGTACTCATCTGAAGCGTCTCGTCGCGTTCTTTCGTTTGCCGCCTCGTGCGTTTCGCTGCGCCTATTGGTTCTCGAGTTATCGGCTGGGGGCGTTTAACGCCCCCCCCCCTCCAGCAAACGGTGGGTGGCGAAATACCCCAGCAACTGCCGGGTTAAAAGCTGTGTACAAATGAAGTCAGTAGCATGCATGCTCAAGAACTAGTTATTCGCTGGTAGTACAGCGCAGAGGTTGAGTGTCCATTGTCCATAATCGTTATCCGGCGTATCGAGCCGGCACGCTCTGTGACAATAATAGCCCCGTAATGTGGTTTTATCCGGCCAGGTGGCACCGGGCTGCGTCGGCCGGCGGCCTTTGGTAAAGGTCGAGCTCACAAGAAGTAAGACACGCACCAACGATGATCTAAATTTGATTCGTAATTTGTGAGATAATGAACTGTTGCTAAATCTGACCAACTGTAATTTTTCAATTAAATTCGTAACTCTCTTGACACTTGAAACAAAAGAAATGACGCCTAATCAATTTCAGTGTTTCATCTGTTCAATTTTTAGCCAGTAGCCACCGACTGACCCCACCGTGTGACCGTCCGGCGGTGCTGGCGTTAATTAAAATAGTACCATCCGCCCACCGCCGGCACTGTGTCACACCGTGCCCGGCTGGACGGACCGGGAATATAGGGCCATCCCCACCGGCGCAGCGCCTACATATCCCACCTGTCGACACCAGTCCCTGCACGGGAGCGGCCCGCTCTGTTCTCGGCCCAGTCCGGCGCGTGGCTCAAATGGACCGCCGCAGGCGATTTCATGGTGTACTGCTCGCCGGATGTCGCATCCAGGAACGGCAGGGTGGGTTGGGGGTGGGGCGCCACCCGCTTCTATGTAGTCATCGCAAGTGAAAAAGGAGATGTTATATGAACATGCAAATATACCTTGTGCAACACTTGGAAACGGCGTCGATAGAAGCAAAATTTTAATCATGTTCCTTTTGGTGGTTGTATAATGTGAATTCAACAAATCACTGCCTGTTAGTGCTAGGCATGCTGTCTGTTGGTGCTTTTTACAATAAACACGAACATAAACAATTGATATCACCTTTTTCAATCATCAAAGCATTGGAAATTATTTGACCGAGCTTTCAACATCGAGCTATGTATATGTAGTTGACTGGTGGATTGACAGCCTGCCGTA